ATCTTTTGTGAAAAGAAGAGTCAACCAATGCAGCAAACTTCATTTTTGTCTTATTTTTAGAACTTTCCACAGCCACCCCAACCCTTAGCGAACCCTACTTTGATTAGTCAGCAGCTCTCAACATTGAGGCAAAACTCCACCAGCAAAAATATTACTAAATTATTAGCATTTTTTAGCGATAAAATATTTTAAAATTCAGGTATGTACTTTTTTTTTTTTAGACATAATGCTAGACCAGGCACGGTGGCTCACGCCTGTAATCCCAGCACTTTGGGAGGCCAAGGCAGGTGGATCATGACGTCAGGAAATCAAGACCATCCTGGCTAACACGGTGAAACCCCGTCTCTACTAAAAATACAAAAAAATTAACCAGACGTGGTGGCAGGTGCCTATAGTCCCAGCTACTCGGGAGGCTGAGGGAGGAGAATGGCATGAACCCGGGAGGCAGAGCTTGCAGTGACCCCAGATTGTGCCACTGCACTCCAGCCTGGGCAACAGAGTGAGACTCCATCTCAAAAAAAAAAAAAAAAGACATAATGCTATTGCACACTCAATGTACTACAGTATAGTGTAAACAACTTTTTTATTTTATTTTATTTTATTTTATTTTATTTTATTTTATTTTATTTTATTTTATTTGAGACGAAGTTTTGCTTTGTGCCCAGGCTGGAGTGCGGTGGCGTGATCTCAGCTCACTGCAACACCTGCCTCCTGGGTTCAGGCGATTCTCCTACCCCAGCCTCCCAAGTAGCTGGAATTACAGATACATCATGACCACACCTGGCTAATTTTTGTATTTTTAGTAGAAACAGAGGTCTCATCATGTTGGCCAGGCTGGTCTCAAACTCCTGACCTCAAGTGATCTGCCTGCCTAGGCCTCCCAAAGTGCTGAGATTGCAGGCATGAGCCATCACCCCTGGCAGTGTCAACAACTTTTATATGCACTAAGAAACCAAAAAACTCACGTGACTTGCTTTATTGCAGTATTCACTTTACTGAGATGGTCCGGAACTCAACCTGCAACATCTTGGAAGTATACATGTAGATACTTGTGAGTTTTGTCCAGTCCAAACCTAACATTGACTAGAAGTCAGAAGTAACTCTTTTAGTTACTTTAAATATAAAAAAATTACCTACCTTTAGAACAAGTAGGATATAACAATAGTCTTATTCGGTTGACATGAAACTTAGGGCAGCAGAAAGGGTTTTCTGATTACTTTCATCACTTTTTTTTCAGTGTGTGAGGACTTCAGAATTGGCTTTTCTTATGCCAGAAATCTCCAAGGGACCAGTCTTAAAAAGTGTATAGTGGTGGAAAAGTCATCATGAGCGGGTAGGACACCTATGGATCTGTGGAATGTCTAAACCTAAGGGCATCATTTACGAACACTTGTTACCTTGGTCCCTGTTATTAATCTGAGGACTGATTTGTGATATTGCAGGAGCATAAGATTTGGTAGACACTATCATTCTCAATTTCATTCTGGCTTGAGACTTGACCACTCATAGATGGCCCCCGTCATCTTTGAGTGAGGAAAGCTATCCTTGATAGAGTGAGGAAAAAGCTATCCTTGAGGTTTTTGTTATATTTCTCAGTCACTGAGCATGTTTGAAATTCGTCTCTCTCAGGTCTCTGTAGGTCTCCTTTGTGAACAGAAAAGAACCGTCTTATGGATTTCTGGCTCTTAAAAAATAGGGTCATCTGGTAACACTGGGCCCCTAACATCGCATAGCAACGGTGGGCGGCAGGTGAATTTTAAATAGGTGCAGGTTGACTTATTTGCTACAGTTCTTATTCTGTGACTCTACATCTAGTCAAAGCCTTTGCTCTTTTGTTTTCTTACAGTCTCCTTTAGGCATTTGAGTCTGTGGCCCTTGATGTAAAGAAAACTAAGCCCTGAGAGAGAGTGTTTCTCACTAGCTGAAATCTCAACATGCTGTTTTAAGCTTTGCACAAAGTTAATTCAGTTGTACTAATGGACTGCAAAGTCTGATAATTGATTCCCAACTTGTCCTGAATTTCAGATGGCCTATATGAAAATCCAAGTAGCAGTGTGACTCATTGCCTGCACCCTGTCATTTTTCCCACATGGTGAAGGTTTTTGAGGGAGCTCTTTGTAGGGTTCAGTGAAAGTGACATGTATCTGTTTCCCTGTCTGAGGATGCATGACCTCAAGCTTGAGATATCCACCCCTCAGTGAAATGTGTAGAGGAGATGTTTGTTTGCTGCTAGTACTTTGTTAGAAAATGATTTTTAGGGAAAAGGTGAAATAATGATGTTTCTTTTCAGGTCAAAGTAGTACATGCGTAGATTGTTTGCCTTGGCAGGTTTTTCTTTTTTTCCTAGTATAGTTTCAGGAGGTCCAGCAGGGCAGACTTTGTGTTTGTGTTTGTTATGTTGGCTCTGGAATTGGCTGTCAATATTGTTGATGAACCTCTGATTAATTTTTAAGCAGTTAAACTATACTTCCAAAACTGGCTGATGAAATTGCTACTTTTCAGTTTGGGGTGATCCAAGAGATAATAACTCCCTGTTCCACGTAATAAATGTTTATTAAGCAATTATTATGTGCAGGCCTTTGAGCATAGTGCTAAGGGGCAGTGAGAGACCCAGAAACCAAGCCAGAGTGTCACCTGTGCTGTAAGTGCAATGGAAGGCTGTGGAATCAGGGAGAACAGAGGAAATAGTGTTTACACTGCTATGCCCTGCTATAGTCTTTCAGGTCTCCAGATAGTTTTATGTCTGTAATTTTGCTTCTTAAAACATGTATAATTATGTATATCTCATCCAGGAGTTTCACTTGGTAAAAAAAGAAATGTTTAGAACCATTTATGAGGTAGATTTACTTAGCACCATGCGTCATTTAGAATGTTTATTTCAAGAATACATCCACTATCTGGTTGGTAACCTATTCTAACTAATTCTGTTCTGCAGGTATATAATCAGAGGATTTTGTTAAATAGGAAATTCAAATGAGTAACAGGAAGTCAAAAATGTTGTTTTAGCTCTTTTTTTTGCTTGTTTAGACAGAATCTCAATCTGTTGTCCAGGCTGGAGTGCAGTGACATGATCATGGCTCCCTGCAGCCTTGACCTCCCAAGACTCGGTGATCCTCCCACCTCAGCCTCCCAAGCAGCTAGGACCAGCAGCATGTACCCCACGTCAGGCAAATTTTTTTTTTTTTTAAGAGATGGGGTCTCCCAATATTGCCCAGGTTGTTCTCAAAATCCGTGACTCAAGTGATCCTCTCACCTCGGTGCCCCAAAATGCTGGAATTACAGGTGTGAACTACCACACCCCAGCCCGTTTTAGCTCTTAACTTTTATAATGAAGATAATATCTTTTTGACAAAATATCTAAGTCTAGCACTTGTGTAGGCTGTTTCCAGACTCCAGAAGCAGTACCCATTATGACAATGAAGACATGAGAAGTACACAGCAAGTCATTGGGAGATATTTGCTAGTGTGTCACCTAGGAAAGTTATTTAAGTTCTGTGAATCTTAACCATAGAATAAGGTTGATAGTACCTACTTTTAGGGTTTTAGGGAGAACTAAATAATCTGGTACAAGGGTTTGGCATGTAGTAAACAGTAAATACTTGCTATTATATTTTTAAAGAGTTTTTTTTTTTAATTATATTGGGTCTTTTAAATTATCTTCATTTGTTCAGTTTCATGTTTGTGGTTGTTAGATTTTTTTTTCTTTCTTTGGTCCATGGAAAATGATCATGAATCCAGATCTCTGGGCCAGTAGTAATACATTTGAGGATCATAAATTAAACTTTTGAGAATGCAAAATGGCTACCAGACCCTAAGCCTAGCCCTCAGCCAGGTCATTCCCCTTTACCTTTTTGCCCCTGTCCATTTTTGTCTCACAGGAACATAATAGGATACTCGGGGACCACCCCAGACATTAATAAAAGAGCCAACTCTTTTTTAACCCTTTGTATTTGCCAAGGCCTATGTAAGCACTTTACCTATAATTTTAGGTAATCTTCACAGCAGCACTCTGCAATGAGTGTTATGATTATCTTCCCCATTTTACACATGAGGGCACTGAGGTTTGAGAAATCTTTCAGTTAAGTAAATTTTAGAGCTAGAATTCAAAGCCAGATCTAACTCCAAAGCCGAAGCCTGGAAAAAGGGGAGTTGGGCTTTGTGGGCTCAAAGGTGATTCACCCCAGTTCCCAGTCCCTCGGGACTTCATGCTCTACCAAGGAAGTATAGCATTTTTGTTGTTTTCTGAGTATTCTCAGTCTGCTCACCCTGTGCAAGAACCTCTTTCTTGGCGGGATCCCCTATTAGATTCCTGTGGCTGCTGTAACAAATAAACTTAATGATTCAAACAACAGAAATTTATTTGCTCACAGTTCTTAATGCCAGAAGTTCAAATTCAAAGCATTGGCGGGACCGTACTTCCTTCAGTGGCTCTTGGAGATGCCATTCTTTGCCTCTTCCAGCTTCTGGTGACTGTCAGCATTCCTTGGCCCATTGAGCAGCACTCCAGTCTCTGCCTTTGTCTTCATACGGCCTTCTCCTCTGCATCCTTTAAATCTCTCCTGTGTGTCTGTATGCTTGCCATTGGACTCAGGGCCTACCCCAATAATCCAGGATGGTCACTTCTTCTCAAGATACTCAATTAGATCTGCAAAGACCCTTTTTCCAAATAAAGTCACATTCACGGGTGCTGAGAATTAGGACATAGTGCCATCTTTCAGGGACCACCATTCAACCCATGACACATGCTGATGGGTGCATTTCAAGCAACCAGGCAAGCTCTTGTCCTTTAGCATGCACTGTGGGCAGGTATGACATCTAGCCAAGGCTACTTTTCCTGTGCAGTGGCTGATTATCTGCAAGATTTTGCAACTTATTTTAAGGGTGTCTCCAAGCTTTTAATATGAATGACCCCAACTTAGCTAGAACTAAAACCTCTGGGGCTTCCCCTTAAGTGGTTGCCTTTCTCAAAAGGTTTTATTTTGTTGTTTGTTTTGTTTTAGATTGCTGACCTGCAGCTGCATAAACTGGATGAACTGGACTGTCTGATTCAGGGCCTGCTTTATGTCGACTCTGTTGGCTTCAACGGCAAGCCAGAATGTTACTATTTTGAAAATCCCACAAATCCTGAATTGTGTCAAAAAAAGCCGTACTGCCTTGATAACCCATACCCTATGTTGCTGGTTAACATGGGCTCAGGTGTCAGCATTCTAGCTGTGTACTCCAAGGACAACTATAAAAGAGTTACAGGGACCAGGTAAACATGTTTCCACTTGTGCTTGAACCCAGACCTCTTTCTTGATGATCAGTTTATAGTAAAAGTTTATGCATATTGAATACATCTTTAAAAGAAATATCTTGACCTCCTTGGCCAACCAAAAAGAATTTCTCAAATGGTGTGTTAAAGTGGTATGTGGGTGATTTATATAAATGTTAATAAAACACAGTCCTTGCCTTGATAGAAATTTTGGTCAGATTGAGGGAAGAAGGATTGCACACACCAGAAATTTGCCAACAAGGGGGTATACATTAAGTGTCAGATGATTGGCAGGGTCAGTAGAATTCAGATGGAAGAATACTTGGGATGGTCAGAGATGACTTCAGAAGAAACCTTCTTTTGGACCTTCATTGATGCCTAGCTCGGAATGACTTGCTTGAAATAATATACCAATCCAAACAACAAACCAAATTAGGTCTACAAAGAATGTCTTTTTACCCTCAGCCAAATGCTCCACCTGAAAACGGGAATAGTCAGCACACCTCGTAGGGAATTTTGGAGTGGAGTAGACAGGGAAACAGCACCATGGCCACAGTGAGGCAGAGAAGTGCACACACCCCAAGGCCCATGTAAGAGCCAAGGGGCTCAGCTTCCTGTTAATGGGGATTCAACATGGGAAAAACATCTGGGGTCAGATCTCTCTAAAACATCACAGTGTAAACAAAACTAAATAGGTTTTCCTTAATTCTAGGAGGAGAATTTGGTATGAAGCATTTCTCCAGCATGTGGAACCGTAGAACCCATTTTTAGAGGAGCATCTTAGGAGATTAGTGCCATGCAGAATGTGCTTTGGGATTTGGTGTTGAAACCCGGGTTTTTGATAGCTGCAGATATGTCACTTCTCTGGGTCTCAGTATCATCATTTCTGCCATGAAGGGGGTTGTTTCTTAGATTACTTCTACAGACTTCTCCAGTACTGAAATTCTGCAGGACTACTCACCCATTAGGAGGAGAACATTGCTTTTGCAGTACATTTCCATGACTTGTGATAGATGAGTGGCTCCCCACTGAAGAGGCGAAGATTTAACAGTGTCCCCCAGGATATGTTTGACATTTTTTTTCCTTTGGTTGTTGCAACTGGCATCTACTGGGTAGAGGTCAGGGGCGCTGCTAAAATCCTGTAGTACATAAGGCAACAAAAATTTATCGAGCCCCAAATATCAGTAATGCTGCCGTTGAGAAACCCTGGCATGCATGTACACACACACACACACACACACACACATACACATATACACATTCTAACTGAAGCCTACTTGTGTCCAGAGTATAGGCTTTGTTTTGTAAGTTAATTGCTACCAAGTATACATTTTCTTATTGAGAATATAGAAGCTTGCTTGCTCACACAAGAAACAAAACTGACTCCGTGACCTCATGAGGACTGTCAGGAGTATCAGAGACATGAATGTTTCAGCTGAGCTGGTTTTACGTTAGGGAGTGATTTGATAAACATATAATTTTTAAGAAACTACAGACCTCCTCCCAGAAGGAGTAATTGAATTGGTAAAGCTAGTCCCAAGGTAAGAGCAAGCTATGCGTTGTTCACAATTAGAGATATTTACAGTTTTATCAACACTTAACAATTTAATGAATTACATCACAGGGACACTTTCTTAAACTTGGAGGCTCCATGGATCTGGGTCATCTTGAATAGCTGCGAAGAAGCAAACTGTGGTGTTTGGCTTCTGTTATATGTGTAATAATGTCTATAAATATTGGTAAATGCCCTTTAATGTCCAGTATTCTCCAGTCATCAACAAATTCTGTCTGCATGTTCCAGCTTCCCTATAAACTCTCTCTTCAATCAGTAGCTTTGGAAAGGTGCTACCGAAGCCTGCAGATTAATAGAGAACCCTTTCAGGGCTACCACGAGAGGGGAGGGGAATGAAACATCAAGTCTATGGGGCTGTGATCCTGATCCAGAGTTGTTTTGCCAAAGGTTTCTTTTAATTCAAGTTAGGAAACCTCTGACATAAACGATTACAGTTGGCAGTGAAGTTAGTATCTACAGTTAGCGTGAGTGTGTAAAACACATTTTAGGAACCACTGTTTTAGCAAATGGCTTAGCTTTAAGTTTTGCTACTCCTATTGTGAACTGATAGCTGTCACTCCAGGTTTTTTCTTATTGTATTATACCTGATTTTCCCATTAAACTTTAAAGTTGTTTATTTTCAAGAAGCTACACAGGATGTTTCCTTTTAAACATGATTTCAAATGATTTATTTCAGTGTTACATATAATTTTGTTGCATCCCAGATTGGGTAGCAACATTTTTTTCCTAATGAAACAACTCCAATTATAGAAGTCAATGGAAAAAATAGTACTTTATAGCTGACATTAGAATGTGTAGTTTGTTAAAAGAGGAATGCACATGATTTTGAAACTTTGGTGAAAGTAGCAGTACATCTCATCTCATTATTTTGGAATCTGTTTTAAGGGCATGAGCACTTAACTGAAGGTTTCTTCTGCTGTTTCCTAAAATCCCCCACTATGATGTTGTTTTGTTTTATTTTTAAACGGTGATAATATTCTACAGCTTTTTCTTGCATTTTTTTTTTGTCTCTTATACACTGAGGGTTTTTACTGTATGCCTACTGAAACAAACAGATGTATCTGACTGTGAGCAGGGAAATCACTTGATTAAACAATGGTTAGCAGGTTGAGGACATTAATAAAGTGCTGGGAGACATTTGGCTCCTCTGCAGCTGTGCATTCTTTCCTTCTATCTGCAGTGCACTCGCTGTCAAATGCATGCTCGCTTTACCTCATTTGTTCCAATTCTTTATGTGGAATCGTCTGTCATCTTCCAGTCATACAAGGCATTTGCCCTTTTTCATTTATACCAACACATCAGCCAATGAGTTACCTTCTTTCTAAGTCAGCCAGTGTCTTCAGTTGCCTACCTTTGAGTGGGTTGTTGAATGCCTCGATTAATACAAATCCTTAATGTCCAAAGAAAGGTTATTGGTGGGGGTGAAAGATATTTAGAAGCTAGAAATGGGAGCAAAGACGTCTTTCTAAAAATACACAGGGAGAAAGCAAACCAAATCCAAATGGCACACAAACCAGAACATGTTCCCACACTAGCTTTGTAGGTAGGCTGAAACCAGCAATGTAGAATGACATACTGCATTAAATGTAAATAAAGATAAACTTTCTTAGAGGAAATCCAAAGTTTCTACTGTGACTAAGTTGTGAAGGTAATAATGTACATGGACCTCTTCTTTTACTCATGGAACTGCATCTACAGTTTGGCTGGCTGCTACTGGTGGTGCCTAGCTACATAATTTTCCATGAAAACCCATAATTTCAATCATATATATATATGTGTATGTGTATGTGTGTGTGTGTGTGTATATATATATATATATGAGTAAATTAAGTAAAATTTTTTTTCTTCAGACGAAGTCCAGCTCTGTCACCCAGGCTGGAGTGCAGTGGCGCAATCTCGGCTCACTACAATCTCCACCAGGGTACAAGTAATCCCCCCACCTCAGCCTCCTGAGTAGCTGGGATTACAGGCGCATGCCACCACGCCTGGCTAATTTTTGTATTTTTGTATTTTTAGTAGAGACAGGGTTTCACCATGTTGGCCAGGCTGATCTCAAACTCCTGACCTCAGGTGATTCACCTGCCTTGGCCTCCAAAACTGCTGGGATTACAGGCATGAGCCACCACGCCTGGCTTCAATCACGTATATTTTTATACAAATGACAATTTAAGAATATTACACATAGTTTTGCTATTTTATTTTATTATTTTTTGAGATGGAGTCTCGCTCTGTCTGTCGCCCAGGCTGGAGTGCAATGGTGCAATCCTGGTTCACTGCAACCTCCACCTCCTGGGTTCAAGCGATTCTCCTTCCTCAGTTTCCCAAGTAGCTTGGATTATAGGTGTGAACCACCACACCTGGCTAATGTTTGCATTTTTCATAGAAACGGAGTTTCACCATGTTGGCCAGGCTGGTCTCAAACTCCTGACCTCAAGTAATTCACCCGTCTCAGCCTCCCAAAGTGCTGGGATTACAGGCATAAGCCACCACACCCAGTCAGTTTCGTTTTAGATGCATCTTCAAGAACTATGTACCTGTCTACAGTTTTGTACCTTCTTGTTAACAGTTATTGACCTTAAACATAACCTTAATCCCAAATTGATTTTATTCTTAGAAGTAAAAGCCAGTGCTCAAACACAAATTGAATTTCCAAAGCTAGTAGCTTCTTGGGGCTTTAGAACAGATGGATGTGAGCAGCTCTTCTTCATTTACTCTTCTACATGGTAAAGAAATAGGAAAACCTATGTCCATTAGTTTCAAGAATCAATGCTTCTTTTCCTGCTGGGAGTTCACTGGCAATACTTCACTCTGAATCTGCTTTTCTTTCCATTAGGTAACTTTGATATTAATACACAATTGAGTTCATTCTTGGCTACTGTAATTACTTTCTAATTTTGTCTAGGCTATTTTAGAGGAAATTTCCCCCTAAACAAGTCAAAGGTTTTTAAATGTAGTTCAACCATTGGAACCACTTTATGACCTTTGTTACTGTTTTTTACTATTGAGTGGTAAGTAATATATTAAAAAACCTTCTGGAGAGTCTACTAGAAAAAAATTCAGTGTCAGATCAATGGTTCCCTTCTAGAAATATTCAAGGAGGCTAAATGAGATTATCTCTGCTAGAGAAGCAAGGTCAGGTCAAAGACAGCTTTTAAAACTGGCCACTCCTGGCACAATCCTGTGTCAGTTTTGTCATCAGAGGGTTTGGCTTCATAGCTGTGAACTATGCTTTATGTACACACAAATTCTTTTTCTAGGTATTTATATTCAGCTGTATATGGTTTTTTAATAGGAGTTATTTCTTGGTTGTTTGCTGCTTTCAGACCACCCAAATAGAAGAGATCATGATTTGGCCCCATTTCGTAGGTGGGAAGGCTGAACAAAGCACTCAGGTTAGTGGTTAGGTGAAGGTCTCACAACAGAAATCAGTGAGAGTCTTTCTTTGGTTTTATTCTCAAATTTAGGGGCAAATTTTCCTTGATGTTTATTTTTAGTCTCTGCCCTCTTTTCATATCCAGTCTACCCTAAAGCTCTGTTGCACCCTAGCACTTTAATTCAAGTGCCCCTTTGTTCATCTGCTTTTATTCACCCATATTAATAGTCTTGACGTAGTTGGGGACTTGGATGGGCATATCTTAAAGTAAAATTTAAAAATAAACCTTATTGTTCCTTCAGTCTTGGAGGTGGAACATTCCTAGGCCTATGTTGCTTGCTGACTGGTTGTGAGACCTTTGAAGAAGCTCTGGAAATGGCAGCTAAAGGCGACAGCACCAATGTTGATAAGCTGGTGAAGGACATTTACGGAGGAGACTATGAACGATTTGGCCTTCAAGGATCTGCTGTAGCATCAAGGTAGAGATTAAGTAGCTAGGAGCAGTAGTGATTAAACACAAGGCAGCCTCTCCACCCTGGCCATTCACTAAGTTATGTTTTAAAATGTCAATCCACCAGCCTGGTGCAGATACCTGTTGTATCAGAGCTCAGACTTGATCTCCTGCCCTTGATGAAGCACTGAGATATTTAGCTCTTGATGCTTGTTCTTAAAATAAGGCAACTTTGAAAGAAGGTTCTAGAAAACTGCAATAGTTTCACGTGTTTCATTCTTGTCCAGATATCTAGAGGCATTAAATTTTTTTCCCCCATCAATGGACATGCTACTTTGTCCCTATTAAGAAAAGGGCAGTCAGCCATGCATACTATAATCTTGTCTGCTTATAAACCATAGTAGCAAAATTGGATCACTTGAGTTTGAACAGTTACTCATAGAGCCTTCCACAGTACTTTGGTGGAAGGATGGGCCCTGCCTGAGGACGATTTTGAACACTCTCGCTAATATTTCCAACATAGCTTTGGCAACATGATGAGTAAAGAAAAGCGAGATTCCATCAGCAAGGAAGACCTCGCCCGGGCCACATTGGTCACCATCACCAACAACATTGGCTCCATTGCTCGGATGTGTGCGTTGAATGAGGTAAGGCCTTACTCAACCTGGTGAAAGCTGTTTGTCATTCATACACATCATCTGGGCAGTGCAATACCTGCTGACTCTTACACAGCTGCATATCCTTAGGAAAGCTTCCCTTTACTATAGTCACACTTTACGGAACAGGAGGGGTGTGTGTTGGGGGAGGGGGAAGAATATATGCTTTATTTTTAAGAAGGCACTGGATGATAATGAATGATAATGTGGAAACATGATACAATTACAACCCATGTCATAGTCTCTCTAACCGTCATTATTGCCATGTGTCCACTGAAATGTGAAGAAAAGGTCTGAGCATCCTTGCACATAACTGCAGGTAAAATGCTCGACTTGCAATATTCGATATTCTCTCTGCTTTCAGCTTCTTTACAGTGTTGCCTTGTGGCATGGAGTTCAAGCAGCATTGTACAGGGCTATCAAAGCACAGAGAGCTTGCTACAGCCAAGGCCAGCCAGAGCCCCAGGCACAAAAAGGGGTGGAGCTGGTGACAGACAAAGTTTTATTAACATGTTTTGAAGCACTGCAAGATTCGCTTGGAAAAAATTGAACCTTTTCTGAAATACAAGGTGTGTAAAGTAGAACTCTTCACACTGAGGTGTATTAGAAAGACAAGAAAGAAGAATTGGGGCATGGAACAGGTCATAGGAGAGTATTAAAGAACCACAGTAGCTCTGTAATGGAGTTTTGATAAATATAGCTTTTAATAGAGAAGTGATATACATACAGAAGAAGGCTCAAATTATAAGCTTACAGTTGAATTTACACCACACAAGCACCCCTATATAGCCATCACTCAGATCAAGAAATAGAATATTATAGGTACTCAGAAAGCCCCTTGAGCCCCCTCCCAGTTGAATAGTTGAATGTTAGTGTATGAGGCAGTCTTTATGATACATGGGTGTTAGCCCTGCGTTTGAGTTCTGGGTTGACAAAAAACACACTCTCCTTGCATAACACTGAACAGAGTATGTTACTGGCGTGAAGATCAGCGACATACCTTTTCGGAAGCCTTCAGTTCAGATGGAGTTTAAATGGGAGGCTGATACTGAGAGAAAAGAGCATTCCAGAGATGTTTTTTCAAAGTCCACTTGAGTCTTGGGACTCAATGTAACAGAGTTTATTTCTTGACATTAACCTTTAAAGGGAATTTTTCCAAGTAATGAAACAAGCCCCAAGACCAATATGTGTGTAGCTGGCTGTACTCATGGGCTCTCATAGGTCAGCTGGTAACACCCCTTGCCCCACAGAGCAATAGATGCCCTTTCCCCTACTTTCCACAGAGCTGGCTTCTTGTGCTTTTGGCTGGAGTGAGCCAGCAGGTCAGCAGGTCTTTTCACAGGTATCAGAATCCCTTTGGGAGAGAGCGACTGACTTTACTATTCACTTTTGATTTCAATTTCAATATTATCGATTGGTGGAGTATAGCAAGAGTGCCAATTTGAAAATGTAGCCATGTTACATTTTCACGTCAAACACTGGTTTGAGCAACTATCTTATATGTTTCTGTGGGGCTGAATGAGTGAAGGGAATCACCAGTTGCCTTGGGGCCAAGGCTCCCCCAGAGGGTGTCCAGTCAGTGCAGACTCCCAGTGGCTGCGCCAGTGACTGGCATTGTTGCATTTACCCATGAGAGCAGCCACCAAGTCCCTCAGTCCTTGCTTTGCTCTCTGGAGTCACTGATTTGAGACCCTTTGATTTCAGCCATTTCATTGAGGGACACCACATTTACCAAATCTAAAACATTTTTGCTGTGATTCTTGAGATGCTGTGAAATGCTTCCCCATCAATTTTAAATTTTCTGATTCAAATTTTTGAATAGATAATACAAACACATAATACAGACTACTAAGACATTAGAAGGATACACAAGGAAGTGAGTCACCATTTGCACTTCTGTCTGTCAGTGTTAACCTCAGTAGAGGCTGCCATTGTTTTTAGGATTTTTTTGTTTGTTTTTATTGTATGTATTACAATATATCTTTTGTTTATATTGTATGTAATGTAGGATACATTTATCTTTCTAAAGGTAACAAATTCTGTAACATTCTTTTTACAAAATAATAGTTTTATTGAAATATAATTATATGCTATACAATTCACCCTGCATATACTATTCTACATTTTGCTTTATCAGCTTTTTATTAAGAAGATGCATAAACATATGTAAAGGAGAGAGAACAGTATAAAGAACCTCCATATATCCATCAGTGCAGATTCTGCAATCATTAAGGCTTCACAACACATGCTTTCTCTCTCTCTATTTTCATCTTCCTCCTCCCTCTGGTCCTCTCTCCTCCTCCTTCCCTCTTTTTTGCTAAAATACTAGAAAACAAATCCAAGATATTATGTCAATCTACCCTATATGTTTTAATAAGCACCTCTAAAAATACTGCCTGTTGCTTTTTGATGTAGTAATGCGTCTTGAAATTGATCATATCAGTATATTTTAAATTGCTTCATTTTTAACGGCCCTATGGCATTTTAACATATAGATATGCTGTTATTGATTTGTTCAATTTCCTAATGATATTTAGGTTTTTCCAGTCTTTTACTATTGTTTAAATATTCATGGTATATTTATATACGGTTTACACACATATATGTATACACACATATGATTTTACCTATATGTGAGTATATAAATAGGATAAATTCCTAGAAGGGAACTTGCTGAGTCATAGGATATGTTGATTGTAGTATTACAGATATAAAGTTCCCTCCATAAAGGTAGTTCAAATTTATATTCCCACCAAGCAGGGTTATAAGGGTACAAGTTTCTCCACAGAGAGTTATCAAACTTTTTTATTTTTTTCAATGTAATAGGTTAAAAATTTTACCTTATTTTGGGATTAACTATTAATATTATTTACTCATTACTCTATTGGGTTGTTGGCCTTTTTTTCTTATTGATTTATGGAACTCTTAATTAAGTAACAAATCCATTTGATGTGAAATGTATGATAATATTTTCCATTTATTGCTTCCCATTTGGATTTGTTTGTGGTGATGTTTTTCCCCAAATAAATTTAACTTTTTAAAGTAAATATAGCAATTATTTTGAAATGATTTCCTTTATTATGCATTTTCTACTTCAACATTTTTTTCCAATTCTTCCATATTTTTCCCTAATCTCTTTTTCTTTTCTTTCTTTCTTTTCCTTCCCACCCCCCCCCCCCACCCTTTTTTAACATCTTTGACCCACCTGGAATTTATTTGAAACATGAAATGCTCTTCCAGTTTTAATGCCACTTCTACTCCTTCTGACTTTCTATTAGGGTAATGCAAGAATGGGCTCTCAGCAAATCCTCCCTTGGACTCCCTTGTTTTGGGAGAAAGGGCAAAGCTCCTCAATTTAATTAAATTTCTTTTTAGCCTGAGTTTCTTAGAGTGTTCCTTGCCACCTCTTAGTTTGGGTGGCTAGTTTTTTTTTTTCTTAATGAAAATTTATTAAAACTACCTCCACTCCTCCACCCACGGAAAATGTTCAGTGGCTAATGGGTTCATGAACATTCATTGTTAAAACTTGAGGCAGTTAAAAGGTAATGTTCCCAGACTGTGATTACTCTCGATAAACTAAGCAGAAAATAATACCAGCTTCAAAGACTCTCTTGCCTTTGATATGAGTGAGTGACCATAGCAACTGGCTCTGAGTGAGTGAGTGAGTGAGTGAGTGGTGAGCAGCCTCTGCATGGTAGACAGGCTGAGCTCTGGTTTGAACTTAAGAAATATCTGGGGGAGTGGGAAGTATAACGAGTGCACTGGAGCTGGAAGCTTATGGGATTTGAAGAATGTCTGCATGAACAGGATAGGAGAGGAATGTTTATAAGTGTATGTTCAGAATGCAGAGCCATGATGACAAAAATAGAGTATTTTTTGTGACCATATTTTAACTCATCTGTTAACCAAACAGGATATTCCACCATATATCCTGAGGGCAGAGATTGAGTATTCTTTCTTCTTTGTATTTCCAGTGTCCAGCACAGAGCAAATTGAGCATTATTCATTACACAAATAAACCATACCATAGCCATTTTATCTGTGAGTTGGTTATAAGAGTATTTTATACCTACAAGTTGGGGGATTGAGGTATTACACATGAAAATTTAGCTGAACTTGAACTCCAGTTAAAACTGTACATATGGGTGTGTTTTGGGAGCTTAATTTCATGTCAGACCTAAAGCAGTCTGACATAGCACCTGCAAATAAGTCCAATATCAGTTTCTGCCTTGCCCAGCAAAAATCTCAGCCTCTTGTTCTTGTGGAATGTACTATAAGGTTGGTTTAACTTCATTTTGGCAACGTAGAAATAATTCCACCAAAAAAAAAACAAGGAAAATTTACTCTTCAAGGTTCTGTACAGAGACATACATAACATTGGGTCTTTGCCAAATGCTATTTTTATGTCATGATTCAATTGTTTTCTTTAACATTTTTTCCAGAATATAGACAGAGTTGTGTTTGTTGGAAATTTTCTCAGAATCAATATGGTCTCCATGAAGCTGCTGGCATATGCCATGGATTTTTGGTCCAAAGGACAACTAAAAGCTCTATTTTTGGAACATGAGGTAGGTTGAGCTTGCATAGACTTACTGTCATATGTGGAGTATATTTTGGTTTGGCTAACCTATCAGCAGGTCTCTTAGTTTTTTAAATTGGTCAAGTAGAAAAGTTGCCATTTACACTTTGCATTTACACAAAGGATAATAAAAAAGTATATATTAAATGGAAGCGTTCTTATCCAACAACCAGGACTGGTAGTTGGTTAATTTAATTTTTTTAAAAAGTTACTGGAAATGTAAATTAGGACAGTCATTACAGAAAACTGCATGGAAGTTTCAAAAAAACTAAAAATAAAATTACCATATGATCAAGCAGTTCCACCTCTGAGTATTTACCCAAAAGATTTAAAATCAGTATGTCGAAGAGATGTCTGCACTCCCATGTTTATTGCAGCACTACTCACAGTAACCAGGTTACGGAATTATCCTAAGTGTCTATCAGCAGATGAATGGGTTTTTTTAATGTGGTACGTATACACAATGGAATACTATTCAACACTTAAAAAGAAATTATGTAGTTTGCAACAACATGGATGGAATTGGAAAACATAATGCTAAGTGAAATAAGCCAGGCACAGGAAGACATACTGCATGTTCTCACTTATTTGTGGAATCTAAAACAATCAAACTCATAGAAGCAGAGAGTAGAATGGTGGTTACAGAGGCTGGAGGGTAGGGGAAATGGGAACATACATTTCAAACTTGTAAATTTCAAATATTCTCACCAAAAAAATCTAAGTATTTGAAGTTATATACATGTTAATTAGCTTGCTTTAGTTATTTCACATTATATTCATAAATCATAACCTCACTTTGTACCCCATAAATATATGATTATAAGTTGTCAATTTATAATAACATTTTTAAAAAGTTTTAAAGTCAGATAAAATGAGTAATCATTCAAAAAATCTTTCTCCAAACATTTTATTAAACCTTAAAATGTGTAAATGTGCACTTACCAATCTTTTGATGTGAGACCAACACCTATTTTTGAGCATGGTTTCTGCCGATTGGAGTCCTGTGGTTATCTTTCTTTCATAATCTACAATATTATGCACCTCCTTTGGTTTCCAGTTTGTTTCCTTAAAGTGGATTAAGAAGTTAAAGATACTTATGAAGCAAGTTGGTTGCAGAATTCGTATAGGTTTTTTTCTCTATCTTTCACATTGTGGCATCCACCTAAGTAGACAGCAGTTATTTCTGACTACCTTTCTCAATATTTCTCAAGAATTTAACTGAATTTTCATAGAACTGACCATCAATTTGTGCTCTTTTTATTGATTTAGGTGGTGTATATAGTTAAACTAAATTATTACATTACAATCAACCTGTCATAAACAAATTTAAGAATAAACACAGCTGACTCTTGGCAAGTAAGCAACTCTGCTGGTAAGAACAGAAGTGCCTGGGCGACTAAGAGTAGCCTGTTGGCCTTAAGAGGTCGGTGTACGTGACCATTAGTGAACCTGTTTATAAACGAAATGGAGAGTGTCAGTAAATTCAGAGTCCCTTACTTGGAATTTCTTTTTTTTTGAGACAGAGTCTCCCTCTGTCACCCAGGCTGGAGTGCTGTGGCGTAGTCTCAGCTCACTGCTACCTCCGCCTCCCAGGTTCAAGCAATTCTCGTGCCTCAGCCTCCCAAGTAGCTGGGATTACAGACGTGCACCACCACGCCAGACTAATTTTCATATTTTTAGTAGAGGGTTTCACCATGTTGGCCAGGATGGTCACGAACTCCCGACCTCAGGTAATCTGCCCGCCTCGGCCTCCCACAGTGCTGGGATTACAGTTGTGAGCCATCCTGGCCCCCTTACTTGGAGTTTCTACCATAATATAAGCAAACAAAAAAAAGCCCTTCTCTCTTCCACCTCCTCTGTCCCCTCCTTTAAAATCAGTGCTGCAGTGCTGTAATGAGCTATCACCGGAGGTATCTAATTTCTTGTGTATACTGCAGCAGAAAAACATTGAGAGAGCTAGTATTGTCGGTTTCAATTGTAATGAATAACTACTGTGCCATTTTTTTTCTCATCTTCAAACTGAGCTATTTATGTAAGAAGTTACCAGTGCATTTAGAGTTATTTAGAACTCTCTATGCCTGTATTTTGCTTTATTAAAGCATATGAAACAGGTACTTAAATACTAAATAGTTAAGGCCCAATGATAGAAATTCATACTAAAGAAAGCTCTTGTTTTTAAAGCAGGCTTTTGGCATTGAGTGAGGGGAAATGAGGTCCCAGAACCTCCACTCCCTAGCCCCCAGAGCCAGAATATCTGATTATTTATGGAGTTTCCATGAAAGTTTTGTTTGAAAAAGAAAAAACCACCTCAGCCTTTAAAAAAATAATTAAAAAGGAAAAAGAAAACTCCCGTTCTAGTCCAGATAGTGTTGCCATTTTTGGCAATAAAAAATACAGGGTGCCCAGTTATTTTATCTGCCATTTATCTGTGTCTTATCTGGCAACCATAAGTCCAGATCTTCTTGGCCTAATGCAGACAACAAAGCCTGGAAACTGTCAGGGATAAAAAGTCTTCTATAACATCACGTGGGAAGTTAGGTGGTGGTGAGATAGGAAGTAAAATCCAACATTTTGGGGAAAGCCACTTCTATAGGTAAAAATGTAGTCATCTATATCACCCTGTACAATCCTAAGCCTCTGTGGACTCTGGCTTTGGTTTGTTACCCTATATCATAACTCAGTCTTTATGGCCAGTGAAAATGGAATATTCTTGTAACCTTCATAATGTGGTCCTCAGAAAATTCTCTACATTCTTAAATTCACTGTGGCTTACGCTGGCCTTAATAGAGAATACTATGGAGAGACAACTTTTGAGAAGCACTGGTATGGTGGCTTTCTGGTCACCTGCCCTGGCCTTAGGAGTCCTCACTTAATTTCTTATTCATTCAACTAATGTTACAGAACATCTCTTAGGAGATGTCATCTAGCCAGATAGTTAAGAACACTGCCTTTTACTGACTTTGAGATCTTAGACAATGACTCTAGCTCTCCATTTCTGTTTTAGCATTTTTAAAATGGGGCAATTATCATATTCGTCTCATAGAGTTATTGTGATAGGTAAATGAGTAAATCCATGTAAAGTGCTTAGAACCACTTGTAGCATTAGTGGGGCCTCAATAAATGTGAGCTGACAGCAGCAGCAGCAAAGATCCGTCCACGTCCTGCCACACTCACACCTACTGCTGCAGTTATAACTATTGAGTTCAGCAAGTGCCAGAAGAATGGAGCCTCCTGCCTTTTGGAAACAGATTGTTGTGGACTGATTATTTGTGCCCCGACCAACTTCGAATGTGTATGTTGAAATCGTAATCTACAAGGTGATGGTATTGGGAGATGGCCTTCGAGAGGTGTTAGGTCATGAGGGCTGAGCCTTCATGAATGGAATTAGCATCCTTATAAAAAAGGTCTAAGATATATAGCTTTGAAGTCAATATAGCTTTGAAGCTATTCAATATAGCTTTGAAGTCAGACAGATTTGGTGTTGAGCCCTGGTACAAGACCTGTGACCCTGCAAGCGTAATTTACTTTATTACCTTCCATTTCTCATATGTGAAATAATAATCAGAGTTTTGCCATGATGAAGATAAAGATGAAATAGTTATAATACTAACAACCCCCGGCACACACTTAGCACACATGTGCCAGACATAGTTCTAAGCACTTACATATGTGAATTTAATATATATAAGTAGGTGTCCAATAAATTATAGTTGTTATTATTCTGCCATGTTTTGTGACGCACAATTTAGGTTTTAAATTTCTCTTTTATCTACATTAATGGCATTCCTAAAATTATTAAAAACAATAGGTATTTGGCTAAGGTTCAGAGATCATCGTTTTGTATTGTTTTCATAGGGTTATTTTGGAGCCGTTGGGGCCCTGTTGGAACTGTTCAAAATGACCGATGACAAGTAGAGATGAGCAGTGGAGGGAACAGCCTCCCCAAAGGACAGAGAACTAAAAAATTGCTGCTGGAGAAGGTGAAAGTCGCTTTGGGACGGAAACCAAGCCATTATGGCAGATGAACCTGCTGGATTTGTAAATAATTTAAAATCCTTCCAGATGATCTTTTACTCTTAGGTTTTGAGCTAATGATTCAAAACGGGGGAATATAAAAGGTTTTTTTCTGTATACTGTATTTTTTTAAAAAAATGGTGCAGCGTGGCCAAACCTACCAATTGTATGCATTAACTTTGAAAAGTTGTTTGATGTTTAAGAAGGACCTGATATGTAAGCGCTGTTCATTTTTCTTCTGGGGTTTACTGATCAGTGTGGTGATTTTAACTTCATTTAGTAATTACTCTAGGAGATTTTACCTTGACTCATATTTTTCATGACGTTTCATGATTTGCTGTTGGTTTCAAATGAAACTACAAATCTGGCATGTTTTACTGTGAACACTTTTGTTATTTGTTTGTTTACCCTTTTTTGTCTTGTTTTTCTGTTTTAGTTGTCTTATGAAAAAAGAGAGTCCTTCCCTCTGTTTCTGTCCTCGGATGATCTCCCTCCCCTACCTGTAAACTTTCTTTGACATAATTGTTCATATCAATGAAGGTGCTGACCAGCTCAATACAAAGTTAAGCACAAGATCTAAAGCTCTTGAAAATGCCGGTGAAGAGAAGACTGAATGTTAATGAATTTAATGAGTCTGGCAAGTTTGTCTTATCCCTTATAAATGTAGTGTTTCATTGGATTTATTTTATGCTAGGTGATATTAAGTTGAAATAGTCTATGATGAAATGTCCTCATCCATGCACAGAATATGAATGGCAGCAAATCTTTGTGCAAGAAGTTTGGAACTTATTGGGAAAAGCCTCCCAGTTGATTAATTGTTCATATCAGGAGATTTAGGGTAAGTCATGGGTTGAGGTGTCAGATAGTAATATCTGTTTGTTTTGTACATGTATATATCTAGGAAATTTGTAACAATACATCTTTAATAATGTTAAAGTTTTTTTCATTTTTAATATTTTAAACTAAAAACTGTACTTCAATCTCAGTTTCTAAAATTAAAAATAATTTATACTAATCTATATATTTTTTCTTTTTGAAAGATTTCATTAAGATTGATGGGTAACTTTCAAATGAGGGTCACGTACAAATATCGGAATGCGTGAGATCCCATGATCTTGTGTATTGAGCTTATTGTTGAAAGGGATTTTTGAAGGACAGAACAATTACTCCATGATGAATCTTCCTTTCTCTGCCTTCTGAGCACCGTCTTTAATTTCCATATCTTCAAGTCTTGAAGAAGTTGATGTTAATTGAAGAACTCATTTGTCTGGTTGAAATAAAGCCTGTTTCTGTTGTGATGTTTTTAGTGTATATGTTATTTTCATTTCTTAATTCTCATGTTTATAGTATCGGCTTTGTACCATGAAATGACTGTGTGTTGTGTTTTTGCTACTCTACATTTCAAAATCGGAGGCTTTCCCATGAGTGTGGTATGTTCCAAAACACTGTGTCTTCAGGTGAAGCTGTAGCCCTATGCATAGATTTTTAAAATATAGCTTTATTGTTTCTATACAAGTGACTCCTTAATGCCAACTGTCACTGCTATACTTGTTAATTCCAAAGGAGTTTCAAAATTTGGTCATCACAAATATATTTTATTAACTTCTGTCTGGCTTTTAAAAAATTCAGGCAGCTAAAGTGTTCTTGAAAAGGGTAAGTTAAAAATCTACATATTATTTATAACTAGTGCCTTTTGATGGCCTCTTCTACTATTCCTATTCTCATCTATCAGGTAACAGCAGACCTTGGTTCTACAGATCATGGTTCTACAAAGGAAATCAGGGCAAGTTAGTGTGACTGTATATTTTTTTAATTATCTGAAATCACTTGATCTCTGATGACAAACATTTAAAACATTGGTGTAGCTGAGAAAATATATTATTCCATTATACAAATATCAGTTAAATGTTGACTACATATAGCCAGCCTGTTTTTTACAAAAGAGAACGTGTAGCCTGAGGATTTTCACATTCACTTGAATTACAGAAACTTTTCTTAGACCCAACATCACAAAGAAACTGGAAAGACTAAAGAATTTTGACCTTGTGCAATATGAAGTAAGAGCATGGCTTTTTATCGTGAGGAAGCTTCAGTCTGGGTCCAGCTTAGTCAGTTACCAGTGCAAAGATATGCTAAGCCTCTTTCTAAACCATAGTTTCCTCCCCTGTAAAATGGGACAAATAATAGTTTTACATACATATTTAAAGAGCTCAGCACAGGGGTTGACATAAAGTAAATGCTTCATTAATGTTAGCTACAATGAAAAAATAAATTATTTAAACTAATGTATTAAATCAGTAATTCTTAACCTTCTGGATTGTGGGAAACCCATGTTACTATGGAGATGTTTCACCAGTCTCCATATGCTAATACATATCCACAGCTCCTTGTCCACAATTCCAAAATCCCATACTTAGGAAATCTATCTTGACAACTCACTTGACAGCAAACTCTGACTTCAGCATTATTTCTCACATGTAGTATGGCTCTTCACATGTTTTGTTGCAAGGCTCTTCATGGGTTAGATAACAGGATACTGACTCTGACAGGGGTGTTAAGTAATAAATGATTCTGAATTGGCTGGGTGTGGTGGCTAACGCCTATAATCCCAGCACTTTGGGAGGCCGAGGTGGGTGGATCACGAGGTCAGAAGATCGAGACCATCCTGGCTAACATGGTGAAACCCCGTCTCTACTGAAAATACAAAAAATTAGCCGGGAGTGGTGGCGGGCACCTGTAGTCCCAGCTACTTGGGAGGCTGAGGCAGGAGAATGGCATGAACCTGGGAGGCGGAGCTTGCAGTGAGCCGAGATCGCACCAATGCACTCCTGCCTGGGAGACAGAGAGAGACTCTGTCTCAAAAAAGAAAATAATAAAGAAATAAATGATTCTGAATTTGAAACACATCTGGTCCTGAGTTTTAGATAAAGGGATTGTGGAAATATAGTTGTGTTCTTCACATTATGCAGTATACATGGATTCAGAGTCTCTGTTGGGAACAATTGTTACAGGTAACTTATACTTGATGTCGTTCAGTCATAGAAGGAATATTAAGAAGTTACCCTGTGCCAGGAAGGAACTGGAGACTAAGAGGCATAGGATACAAACCCTGCAGAGAAAGACAGCAAAATCTCAAAGCCAACATGAGTCATCAAGTGCCACAAGTGCCATTCAATCATTCGTTCATTCACATTCACAGCAGTAAACAAAACAAAGATCCACCATCACAGAGCTTATATTCTAGAAGGGAAGACAGATACATTACTAAATATATAATGTTAGATCAGTACTACAAAGAAAAAGTAAGTTAGTGTAAAGGCTAAAGAAGGGGTAGTTCTATTCAGAAAAATGAGAAAGGGAGGAATTTCTCAGGGTGGACAAAGACAGCCTCTCCTAGGAAGTGACCTTTGAGCAGAGAGTTGAATGGAGGTGAGGACACATTGTGTAAATGTCTGAGAAGATGTTTTTCACTCCTGGCAAATGAAAATAGGGATTTGAGGAACCGCAAGGAGGTCAGTGTCTGGAGTGAAAAATAGAAAGTGATGGGAGATGCAGTGTTGGGAGTAACCTTGAGCCAGGTCCTGTGAGAAATCTGCAAGTGAGGGTAGTGGCCTCTACCCAGAAGAGAGGCTGGTCATTTGTCCTCCAGAAGGTGCTAGAGAAGGTTTCATGGAGTCTTAACCGAAGAATAGGAACCACTAAGTGGAGAGGAAGGGAGTGCTTCCAAGCAGAGGTTGCTGGGTGAGCAGAAGTGCTGACGGAAGAAACCCCTTGGCTTATTCAGGGACTGGAAGCTCTTTGCTATAGCTGGTTTCCCCAATCTCCGTATGCTGATATATGTCCACAGCTCCTTGTCCACACTTCCAAAATCCCATACATGAGAGAGAAACCAGGTAGTGAGAAAGTGAGAAAGAGGAAGCAGCCCAACTGTGGAAGGACTTGTTTTCCGTGCTAACATTGTGGACTTTTCCATAGTCACTGTGGAGCCATCAAAGAGTTTCAAGGAAAGTGAAACTAGAAATGATCTGGCTTCAAAGCGGTAAAGCAAAATGCCCTGTTGAAGTAAATAAGTAAACAAGTTATGTGCTTTTGAATACCTAACATTATTCCATTTTTTCCCTATTGTGCCAGACCTCATGCAGTAGCTGCAGAGTGAACCATGCTTTTGCTGTAAGTAGGATGGTTATAAAAATTCTTGAGAACTTCCTCAGAGAACACAGGCTACTAATAGCTACAACCCCACTATGAGTCTATTCAGTGAGTAAGAAGGTTTCAATACCGGGAGCATCGTAGACTATCACTCACAAGAATTGTTAGAAAGCAGTTTTCCTCGCAGTGATCAGAAGATGACCCCACATTTGTGAAAAAGATTTCATTAGTGTGCATTGTTTATTATGTCTACCAGCTGCCCATTCTTTTGCTCATCTGTTTAATTTTTAATAAATATCAATGATCTGAGAGGCATTGGGTAGCACTGAGGATGCATTCCGATGTGAACAAGACTGCAGGAGCTCTGCTTTCATTAGGCTGACATTTAGTTGGTAGAGATAAACTTGAAGCATATAAACCAAGAAATAAACAAGAAAATATCAGGGAGTGATAAGTGCTATGAAGGAAAGAAACAAGGTGATAGGATAGAGAGGGAGGAGAGAGACTTCCTCAGTCAGATGGTCATAAAATGCAAGTTTGATTAAGTCATGGCCTCAGCTTTTAAGGAATGATGCGCTCACCTTGCTTTCATTCTTGCCACCTCAATGAAAATGAAAGATGTTTTTGGGAAACTGATAGCTAATTTTCTTTTTCTTAGAATATTTAATTTAGGTAATATGTATTTAAAATAAAGTTATCACATAAAATAATATATTGATTTAGTAATGCACGTTTTTCCCCTGCTCATTTAATGAAACAATATTATTTGAATTGTTTACTTGAATCTTTATTGTTAATGATTTTGTCATGACCAGAGTCATTTAATAGTTTCCACAGCACAAGTTTGAAATTTAATACCTTTTTAATCTGTCTGTGATATGTTGACCACTGGGTTTTTAAAACACCCAGCCACAAACACCTATTCCCATGATGAGCTCAATTATTTCACATTCCAAAAGGTGTTTCCTTAGTGTAACCATTTATGTAGAGCCTTTTAAAGTCAATTTCAAATGGCTAGTTTACAAGTATTCGTCACTTGCAATACAAAAATAAAAAGGAAATTTGTATAAAAGTCTTTGCCTCTTTTTTTAATGCTCTATCAAGTAAATAAACATTCCAAACTAGAATTAATTGAGGTGATTTCAGTTAATGTTTTCACTAAACGGTTTTCAACCAGTCCATAAGAAGAGTTCATCTTCTTTTCAAATTGAAGTATTTTTTTTTTAAATCAACATTTTACATGCAAATAGTTTTAAAAGTCAAATACTTGCACAAGACTACGGAAAACAGCAGCACACAAGTTTTCCTTTTTCATATTTTATTTTATCATTGTGGACGTAGTGGTTTCCCAAGGGTAAGGTGATGGAGATAAAAATTTTTGAGTATTTGCCTATCTAAAAATTTCTAGAAATATTTTTATTCTATTCTAATGCCTAGTTGATAGTTTGGCAGACTACAGAATTTTATGTTAGATACCAGTTTTCTTCAGAATTCTGAAGGCATGGCTCTATTATTTTGGCAATAATAGAGAAATAGGAACCTTCATACATTAGTGTTGGGATTTCAAAACAATACAGTCATTTTGGAAAACAGTCTGTCAGTTCTTCAAAAAGTTAAATACAGAATTACCATATGATCCAGCAATTCCACTCTCAGATACGTATATACCCAAAGGAAATGGAGATATACATGTACATATGACTTGTTCATGCATATTCTTAGTAACGTTACTCATAATAACTAAAAAATTAAGATTTCCCTAATGTCTATCAGCAGATGAATGTATAAATAAAATGTATACTTCTATACAGTGAAATAATATTTGGCCATAAAAAAGAATTGCAACACAAATGAACCTTGAAAGTATCATGTTAAGTGAAAGAAACTAGTCACAAAAGACTATGTATTGTATGATTCCGTTTATATGGGATCTCCAAAATAGCCAAGTCTATAGAGACAGAAAGTAGATTAGTGGTCTCCTAGGGCTGAGAATTTGGTAGAAATGAGGAGTACTGCTAATATGTATGAGGTTTCTTTTGTGGTGATGAAAATATACTAAAATTGATTGTAATGATGATTGCATAATTCAACTAAAAGTCATTGAATTGTACACTTTGAATGGATTAATTGAATGCTATGTGAATTACAGGCATATGTTGTTTTATTGTGCTTTGCTGATACTGTGTTTTCTGCAAATTGAAGGTTGTGACAACTCTGCCTTGAGCAAATCTATTGGTGCTGTTTTCCCAGCTTGAGGTCATTTCATGCCTCTTGGTCACATTTTGATAATTCTTACAATTTTTCTCACTTTTTCTTTATGATTATAATTATTATGGTGATTTGTGATCAGTGATCGGTGATCAGTGATTGTTTTGTGGTGCCACAAATGTAAGACACTGAACTTAATCGGTATGTGTTTTGACTGTTCCACTGGCCTGCAGTCCTCCTATCTCTCTCCCTCTCCTCTGGCCTCCCTATTCCCTGAGACTCAAAAATGATGAAATTAGCCCACTTACAAACCCTACAATGGCCTCTAAGTGTCCAAGTGAAAAGAAAAAAAATTACACATCTCTCACTTATTAGAAACTAGGAATGATTAAGCTTAGTGAGGAAGGCATGTTGAAAGCTGAGATAGGCTAAAATCTAGGCCTCTTGTGCCAGTTAGCTAAGTTGTGAATACAAGGAAAATTTCCTGAAGGAAATTAAAAGTACACTCCAGTGAACACACAAATCATAAGAAAGCAAAACAGCCTTACGGCTGATATAAAGTTTTATGTCTGGATAAAAGATCAAACAAGCCACAACTTTCCCTTAAGCCAAAGTCTAATCCAGAGCCAAGCTCTAATTTTCTTCAGTTCTCTGAAGTCTGAGAGAGGTGAGAAAGCTGCAGTAGAAAAGTTGGAAGCTAGCAGAGGTTGGTTCATGAAGTTTAAGAGCAGAAGTTGTCTCCATAACATAAAAGTATGAGGTGAAGCAGTAAGTTATGCAGAAAATGCAGCAAAGATCATTGATGAAGGTGGTTACACTAAACAACAGATTCCCAATGTAGACAAAACAGCCTTCTATTAGAAGAAAAGACCACCTTGGACTTTCCTAACTAGAGATGAAAAGTCAATGTGTAGTTTCAAAACTTCAAAAGACAGGCCGACTCTCTTGTTAGAGGCTCATGCAGCTGGTGACTTGAAGGTGAAGCCAATGTTTATTAACCATTCTGAAAATTCTAGGGCCCTTAAGACTTATGCTAAGTCTACTCTGCCTGTGCTCTATAAACAGAACAACAAAGCTTGGATAACAGCACATCTATTTATAGCATGGTTTCCTGAGTATTTTAAGCTCATTGTTGAGACCTGCTTCTCAGACAAAAGATTCCTTTCAAAAGATTTCTTTCATTGACAATGCACGTAGTCACGCATGAATTCTGATGTAAATGTACAAGGAGATTAATGTTTTCCTACTTGCTAATCCAATATCCATTCTACAGCCCACAGATCAAGGAATAATTTCAATGTTCAAGTTATATTATTTAAGAAATACATTTTGTAAGGCTATAGCTGCCATAGATAGTGATTCCTCTTATGGAGCTGGGCGAAATAAGTTGAAAACTGTCTGGAAATGTTTTTACCATTCTAGATGCCATTAAGAATATATATGATTCATGGGTGGAGGTCAAAATACTAAGATTAACTGGAGTTTGGAAGAAGTGGATTCCAACCCTCATGGATGACTTTGAGGGGTTCAAGTCTTCAGTGGAGAAAGTCACTGAAGATGAGGTAGAAAGAGCAAGAGAACTAGAATTATAAGTGGAGCCTGAAGAGATGACAGAATTTCTGCAATCTAATGATAGAACTTGAAAGGATGAGGAGTTGCTTCTCATGGATGAGCAAAGAAAGTGGTTTCTCGGCCGGGCGCGGTGGCTCAAGTGCTGTAATCCCAGCACTTTGGGAGGCCAAGGCGGGTGGATCCCGAGGTCAGGAGATCGAGACCATCCTGGCTAACATGGTGAAACCCCGTCTCTACTAAAAATACAAAAAACTAGCCGGGCATGGTGGCGGGCGCCTGTAGTCCCAGATACTCGGAGGCTGAGGCAGGAGAATGGCGTGAACCTGGGAGGCGGAGCTTGCAGTGAGCCGAGATCCCGCCACTGCACTCCAGCCTGGGTGACACAGCGCGAGACTCCGTCTCAAAAAAAAAAAAAAAAAGAAAGAAAGTGGTTTCTCGAGATGGAATCTACCCCTGGTGAAGATGCTGTAAACATTGTTGAAATGACAACAAAGGATTTAGAATATTGCATAAATTTAGATGATAAAGCATCGGCAGGGTTGAAGAGGATTGACATCAATTTTGAAACTCCTGTTGTGGATAAAATCCTGTCAAATGACATCACATGCTGCAGATAAATATGTTGTGAAAGAAAGAGTCAACCAATGTGGCAAACTTGATTTTTGTCTTGTTTTAAGAAATTGCCACAACCTTCAGCAACCACCACCTTGATCAGTCAGCAGCCAAACACATCAAGAGAAGACCCTCTGCCAGCAAATAATTAGTACTAGCTAAAGGCTCAGATCATTGTTAGCATTTTTTAGCAGTAAAGTATTTTTGAAATTAAGGTATCTACATTTTTTAAGACAATGCTATTGCACACTTAACAGACTACAGTATATTCTAAACATAACATGTACATCTGCTATGAAACAAATAAATTCATGTGACTTGATTGTCTGGGTCTGAAAACAAAGTTGCAATTTCTCCAAGGTACGCCTATATATTACTGAAATACATGAAAAGCAATGTAAATTAGAAGACTGAAAAGAACCATTGGAATATAGCACAAAACTGAAATTATATATGTTAATTGGATTTTTTTTTTGACCTGTTGTGGTATTATTTTCAATTTTGTCAGATATTTCACTTGTTGCTTTTGCTTTTCCACTAGTTTTTTTCCTTGTACATTTCTTAAATTATGACATTTCTAGAATCAACCACCAAGTACATTTAGTGAAATGTGTGTGGCCCACGGTTGGTGTGGTTAATACTAAGGGCACTGTGACATAAATTCAAGTAGCCTCAATACCATTTGCCTAATTTGTTTTAACTAATGGATTTTCTTTATAAATATTTTGCAGTTACAGTTTAAGGAGAGTTTTAAATTTTCTTTTAAGCTGTAAGGCAATCAGAAAGAAATTTTTTTGTATTAGATTAGATTAGAACCGTTTTTGTATTAGATTTTTCTTCTCTTTGCCCTTCCACTTCACTTTGTTCATGAAATTTGGTGTTGCTATTTTAGCAAGGTTCAGCATCTGAAGAATTTATGCCATTTGGCTGCCATGACACAGCTATAAATTGTTTGTTTTACCACATTCCATAGTGAGATAGGTGGTGTGTGTCTTCTCATATATCTTGAAAAGATACGTAAAATTTAATTTTAAAGACAACTTAAACTTTAAAATAATTATTTTTCATTAACTACTGAAGTTTATTTATCCTGACATGAAATTTTTTCATAATATATTCTTAAACTTTTCTAGCATTCATATTCTATGTGCATATTTGGATGTGTACATGTTTTCGGCATATTGGGGAAGAGATAGTTAATCCTACAAGTTGTGGATCTAGAGTTTGTATTAAAATTATTATTTAGGAAAAGTATATTTTTAAACTTAATATTTGAATAGTCTGTCAAATGTCACTTTATTTTAGATATCGGCCAAAAGTATTTTTGAATTAAGTTCCATAAGTGAGTTGAAATTTGGCAAATTAAACATCATTTTGAATTTTAAACATTTTTAGGTATTCTCCTTTGATATTTGATTACTATTTATATTGGCTTTATAAATTTTAAAATGAGCAGTCACTTTTCTGTATGTCTGTTCATGTGCCAACATCAACATTGAATTTATCAAGTAGTTATTTATGCAATGTTTAGACAGGCAAAATGAAATGGAGAAGTGGGGCAATTATCTGTAGATCCCACCCACACAGCTTTCAGCAACTGTAGAGAAAATGTGTGGTTGTCCAGAACAATTGAGTTTTGTTGGCTCTGCCCTGAACATTTAGTCAAGTACACAGTTCTTCGTGTCCTTTAGCCTGTGTTTCTACAGTCCACGTCGGACCTCTGCTGCTCATGGTAGTCTTCTGTGGTCCTTAATTAACTATGAAGATTAGCTCAGCAAAATCAAGCTGTAGGGGTCTCTCTCTGTGAAATGTTCAGGGCCATTTCATCTATGGCATAATCTGTTTTAATGGCCATAGAGAGAGATTTTATGAAGATATAGCCACACTTAGAAATTAGAAATTAACACTTTAAAAAGGGTATATAGCGTTAGGATTTGAATTTTTAAAATAAAACACCATGCCATGCATAGTTTTTGGAAACCAAATTCTAAATACACTGGTATTCAAACTTTTAAGATGTAGAGGTTTAGTAATTCATTAGTATTAATTATTGAATAATCACTACTTACGTTTTAGTGTCAGTTTTTATTCATTGATCCAGTCCTGCAGAAGAGACTTTGGAAATATTAACTGAGTCTTGCATTTCAACTCAGGAGAAGTTCCTTTTAATCACTAAGGAATAAGTTGCAAAATAGGTTAAAGGTCCCTCCTAAAATAAACCTACCAAGTATGAGAAGTGAAAATTACACTTTTTGCTATTATTCTAATTTTTAAACTTCTAAATAAATATTGAACAACTATTTGGAGAATATCAGTAAGAAAAGATGCCAAATTATTAACCTGCATTGAACTATCACAAGTTCTGACCTGGCACTGGATGGAGAGGTAGGGCTTGGACCAGAAGTGACCTCTAATATCCTTCCCAACCCAGAGCTTCTGTAAGTCTGAGAGCTGGGCCTTGACCCTGTCCTTTACAAAGTTACCATGTGGGGTCCAGGTGCAGTGGCTCACACCTGCAATCCCAGCACTTTGGGAGGCCGAGGCGGGCAGATCACGAAGTCAGGAGATTGAGACCATCCTGGCTAACACGGTGGAACCCCATCTCTACTAAAAATACAAAAAATTAGCCGGGCGTGGTGGCGGGCACCTGTAGTCCCAGCTACTAGGGAGGCTGAGGCAGGAGAATGGCGTGAACCCGGGGGGCAGATCTTGCAGTGAGCCAAGATTGTGCCACTGCACTCCAGCCTGGGCGCCAGAGTGAGACTCTGTCTCAAAAACAAAAACAAAAACAGAACAAAACAAAACAAAAAAACACAAAGCTACCATGTGGGAATAAAAGATGTTTTCAGAAGAGAAAGTCCACAACAATAATGACAGCTCTGATGGATTAAGCCTTTCACGTGCTTGGCACCCATGTACCTAATCTCCATTAATCCACTCAGATGATGAATAACGTGGGGATTCTTATCTTCATTTTACAGGAGAAAAGACTGAAGCTTGAAGAGGCAAAGGAACATGCTAGAAACATGCCATGAACAAATCTTCAAAACTCCTGAAGTGGCTTTCTGGGAAAAATCAAGGCTTTTTTGGGACTAAATGATCCAGAGATTTGCTTCCATTTTCTAAAAGGGATTGTATATAGAGGCAATGTCTGAATGTGTGTCTATCACCCTTATCAGTCATATTATTGAAATTTCTGCATATCCAGGCTTAAAATTTCACATTGGCTGGTCTGAAGTTCTAGCTCAAGTGCCTTCCTCCTACTGCTATTCAGTTAGTTAATGTTCTTTGGCCAGGTGCGGTGGCTCACGCCTGTATTCCCAGCACTTTGGGAAGCCGATACGGGCAGATCACCTGAGGTCAAGAGTTCGAGACCAGCCTGGTCAATATGGGTGAAACCTCGTCTTTACTAAAAATACAAAAAATTAGCCAGGTGTGGTGACTCACACCTATATTCCCAGCTACACAGGAGGCTGAGGCAGGAGAATCACTTGAACCTGGAAGGCAGAGGTTGCAGTGAGCCGAGATTGTGGCGCTGCACTCCAGCCTGGGTGACAGCATAAGACTCCACCTCAAAAAAACAAAACAAAATAAAATAAAATTCTTCCACTTGCCCATTTCTTTTCTTTCCTTCATCATACTTCCACTACACGTTACCTCTACACAAACATTGATGCTAGACTTGTACATATGGGAGTACTTATACAACAAACAAAACCTTATTGCTAAACTTCTGTGTAGATAAAATAATATATATTCCATCTTGTCTAGGAAGAAACGCTTGAGTCTATTATGAAGACTTATGCCAAAATTATTATTGTTATTATTTTCAGAGATGGGCTGGAGTGTAGCGGTGCAATCATAGCTCACTACAGCCTAGAATGCCTGGGTTCAAGTGATCCTCCCACTTCAGCCTCCTGGGTAGCTGGGTCTTCAGGTGCATACCACCATGCCTGGCTAATTGTTT